AATTAATTATTACAATTGTGCTGGTTCTCTAATATCACCATTTTCTTGCTATGTTTGCAGTTAGTTACAAGAGAGAATTTAAAATAAATAATCTGAATTGCTCCCCAAAAATGTTTCTCAAAACTGTGCTTTAATACCAGTGGCAGTTGTGCCAACATGATTAGAATTCTGTTAGTTAAGACCCCTGTGAAGCCGTCCATTTCTTTGTTTGAGAGGCAGTGGAGTGTAGTGGTTTTGAGCACAGGCTTTCGAACCACTCAGGTCCCAGCTCTACTGCTTATTAGCGGTGTGATTGCTAATAAGTTACTTAACTTATTAGTTACTGGGTAAGTTACTTAACCCCTCTGTGCCTCATTTTCCCATCAGCAAAATGCTAGTAATGTTTCTAACAGACTCAAGAGGTGGTTGGGAGGATTTGTGAGTTAATTACTGCAAGTCTGTTCAATCATTGCCTGGTACTCAGCAAGCACCCAGTAAGCATTAGCTGCTATTTATCTCTTATTTCTCTGTAGGTGTAGCTAGTGAAAAGCAGCGGCGGCTGCTGTACAATTTGGAGATGGAGCAAATGGCTAAAACAGCCAAAGCGCTGATGGAGGCTGTGAGCCATGCCAAAGCCCCGTTTACGAGTGCCACTCACTTGGACCACGTTCGGCCAATGTTCAAAGTGAGTATCCTGAGAAGTTAGGACGTGGCTAACCCCAATTCTGGAGCTGACCAGCTGGAAGCTAACTGGCAAGTTTACGATGAAGAGGTTGAGGAGAGGAAAGACCAAGTTGGGGATTGCTTTCTGAGTAGTAGCTAAGGTGAATTCTGCCCAGAAGCCCTTCAATGATGCTGGGGATGCACCAGCACCGGCCAGAAGCATGAGCTCTGTAGTCAGAATGTCTGGATTGGAACCCTGCCTTTGCCACTTTGTAGCTCTGTGACCTTGGTCAGTTACTCAGCCTCTCTCTTCATCATCTATAAAATAGAGACAAATACAGGGATGGTAGAGGATTGTATGAATAAAAAATTATTCAGGGAGGCCCTGGCCAGGTAGCTCAGTTGATTAGTGTCATCCCAATACACCAGGCTACAGATTTGATCCCCCATCAGGGCACATACAAGAGTCAACCAGTGAATGCATAAATAAGTGGAACAATAAATGTATGTCCCTCTCTATAATCAATAAATCAAACTCTAAAAAAGTAATTATTCAGGCGAAAGAGACAGTTTTAGTGTGACCCCTCATCTTAATGGTCTCAAGGTTAGTTTAGCAGTTAAGAGTAGGTGGAAGTAAAAGACCAAATTCTGGGGCCTCTCTATGTCAAGAAAAGACACACGTTCTGTATGTATAATATTCCTTTTCTCTTAAGATGTTTTTGTAGTTGTCAGTATCCTGTTAATTGAGTTTGGACTTTTGTGAGCGTTTCTTTTTATGGAGTTCACAAGAAAACTAGGGGAAAAATAAAATCTGAATAATTAGGAATCTTTTAGTGAATTAAGTTTATGGAAGATAGGTTGCTTATAGGTTTTATTTTGCATGCCAACCGCTGATTGGTGATGGCTGCCTGCTGCACGGTGGGATCTCTGATTGATCAGTGGTGTCTGCCGTGAGCCCGGGTATGCGTAGTGGTGGCTCACTGGCCCCATATTTACCTTCCTTCCTTTGGAACTGTACACGCAGTATATGGCATCTCTGTAGTGATAGCTTTGGCTACAGTTTAGGAGGAACTGTTTTATATTGTAACTGGAATAGATTGAAGTAAAAATAGCTGTGAACTTGGCATCCTGGCTGTGCTCAGAACTAACAGTGTGGCTTGTAAGTGCTCTTTCTACTGACATTCTAGACATAACTGAAACCTTCCTTCCTTGGTAGCTGGTGTGGACACCGCTGCTGGCAGCCTACAGCATCGGACTGCAGAACTGTGACGACACTGAAGTGGCCTCGCTGTGCTTGGAGGGCATCCGGTGTGCGATCCGGATCGCCTGCATTTTTGGGATGCAGGTGGGTGTGAATTAGCAGAGTTCCGGAGATGCTGGTGCGCTGTGTTCTCTGAGATTTGGCAAAGCCTAGAAACTATCAGGAAAGGTTCTGATAGTTTCCAGGTTTCCAATTAGCCAGGAAAGTCTCAGCCAGCTCCTTCCTTGTGCCCATTAAGAAGAAGCCCACAGATTTGTGCTGGCAACTGCCTTATTAGGAGGATAAAAAGAGGTTTGGGTTAAAACTCTGTTTCAAAGGTTTTAAGGTTGAAAAGCCTTTTTTGAAAGTTCAGGCTAGATTGGATTTGGTCTACCTAACTTGCCTGCCTTAGTGCTTGAAACATTTTTTCTTTTAAAATCAGTTTTTTTATTATATAATTTTCCTCATTTCTAAATCTTGTTTGGGGGAAGTAAATGATTCAATGAAAATGTCAACTTTTTGAATCTTGGAAAATTCTAGCAAATAAAATACAATTCTCAAACTATTTTAAAGTCAGGACATTGTCAATCCCATTTATTTTCCAGGTCGGTGAGAATTTGCACCCATTTATTCTGAAAAACTCAAATCTTCTCTTTCCATTTATTTTACACTTGGACATTTTCTTTGGTACCGAAACCATTGGCTTTGCTGTCAGACACTGGGTTTCAGTGCCCAGCTCTGCTCTTGCTCTAGCCATGTGACATTGGCCAGGTGTCCTTCCATCTAAGACACCTTGTATTTCCTCATTTGCAGACCTGAAAGAGTAGACCTACTTGGCAGGATTGTTACAGATGCTAGAATTTATGTGACAGTGTTAGCATTCAACAGATTCTTCCTCCGCTTTCTCCCAAGAAAGTGGAGCAGGAACACAAGGCTGAGGTCACTTGGAAAGGAGAGGGCTGGTTCTCAAACACACAGCGTGCAGGAGCCTCAGTGGGATGTTCCGGTAGCAGGGGGACAGCGTGGAGTGGCTGGCACGTTACTGTGCGTGAAGCCTGTCAGTGTGGGTGCAGAAGGTGTCAGAGAAGCCCAGTGCCCAACCCCATCCATGTGAAGACAGTCATGCTGTGGGCAGGATCTCAGTGTTCCCTCCTTGGCTCCCCTTACAGCTGGAACGAGATGCCTACGTTCAGGCTCTTGCTCGCTTCTCCCTACTGACGGCCAGCTCCAGCATCACAGAAATGAAGCAAAAAAACATCGACACCATAAAGACGCTTATCACAGTGGCTCATACCGATGGCAACTACCTGGGGAATTCCTGGCACGAGGTGTGTATCTCAGAGAGCCTGGTGGTGACCTTGTCTTGGTCAGGGTGACCCCATGTTCCTTTTGTCTCTCTTTGGCCACTTCCATTTTTCTTGAAGTCAAGTTTAACCTCAACTCTCTCACTCCAAAATATTTCATGTATGTGAAAGGGGAAATGCACTCACAGATGCCACCTCACTGATGGCCATTGTCTTCATGGAATGTACTTGCATTGTGACAACTTTTCTTCCACATCAGCGCTGCTTCCCCAAGTCCTTATGTACCTCCTGGGAGCTCTTACAGTCAGTGAGCAGATTCAGGACAGAGCTAGGGGCCTGGCTTCTCTCCTCATTGTCTCTAAAAACAAATGGTCGACATTTATGTTGAGCCATGGGGCAATTTGCCAGTGGGTTCCCTTTTTTTTAAGATTTTACTTATTTATTTACTTTTAGAGAGAGGAGAAGGGAGGAGAAAGAGGGAGAGAAACATCAGTGTGTAGTTGCCTCTTGCACACCCCCTATTGGGGACCTTGGCCCGCAACCCAGGCATGTGCCCTGACTGGGGATCAAACCTGCAACCCCTTGGTCCGCAAGCTGGCACTCCATCCACTGAGCCACATCATCCAGGGCGGGTTCACATTTTTTTAACTCAATATCTGACATTCTCTCACCCAGGGCAAGACTTATGTGTACAAACAAACGTGTATTTGAAAGGTCATCGGAATTTTAGATTGGATTAGAAACAGCCTAGATATTTCAATAATGAGAGATTGCTCTTTAAAAAAAAGTGTGGTACACAATTTCTTAGAATGGTGCATGGCCATTTAAAAATGTTGTTATTGACAGGAGAGACAGCCAGGAGAGACATCATGTGCTCCCTGGTCCAGTTTGCCCCTAAGCCAAATTCGAGTCAGTTCAAGCCTCTACTGCCGGTTTTCAGGAAACCAAGGGGACAGAGGAAGACCATAAATGGCGACCGTGAGAGCGCGGTCTGCAAGTCAGGGTACGACAGGCCCTCAGCAAACGACCAGGTCCTTCTACACATAACTTGCAAGAAAAATAGTAGACGAAGGGGAAGGACCTGCGGGTTAAGAGAGACATTAGAGAAAAAAGATAAAGATGGTATTAAAAACTAACACTGGGGGAGTGTGGTCACAGCGCATTAAATAACGAGTCATAGTAACACCTTGCAAGGCATCATCCCTTGTCCCGAACATAGACACACAATGAGGTTTCAGAGGCTAAACAGAAACGTTAGCATCCTGAGGGACGGGATTATGGAGGTGATTTTTTTCCCTTAAATTAGTTTTATAACCTCTCTACCATCTACATGTGTTCCTTTTTGTTGTAGGGAGAAAACTGGAGAGTAGAGGTGAGGATATTGAGAATGGTGGGGACTGTGATACTAAAAACAAAAACTGCTGTCAGCCTCCCCGCTCCCTGGGTTCCCCTGCACCGGGATTGGGTGGTGGCGTGGAAAGGTCTAGGGCCACACTGCTGCCATCCAGCCCTCCTGCCTGCAGGGCTGGGCAGGCTGTGTAGCCTGCGGGCCGCACCGGTCTCTGCGTGGCTCGCAGGGTTGCTGTGAGCGGGAGAGGAGTTACCTTGCAGCGAAGGGCTTCGGGCTGCGTGTGGCAGGTGCCCGGAGCTCAGTAGTTGTTGCTTGTCAGCACAGTCCTCGTGGCACAGACCTTGGTCCCTTCCCATCCAGCTTTTCCTTCCTCTGTCACAACCCTGGAACATTCCATATTAGAAAAGGTGGAAGAGGGGCGTTGTCTTTTTTATTGAGTTGGGTGCTTTTTTTTTTTTTAATGAAATGTTCCCAATAGGCTAAATGCTAGCAATATAGCAGAAAAAAAACCTAGTGGGAAAATATTTTGTGGTCATGTCTATAGCAAATGAGAAACTGCATTCTAAAAGCCTTGGTAATTATCATTAGTTGGTTGTTTTTTTAAAGAAATAACTTCTTCTGAGGAGTCATAATACCTCGTGATTCAGTGAACAGCTGCTTAGTCTCCTAGAACTTTGTTAGCCTGAGAGGTATGATGCCTGTGGGGTTCCTGCTGGGTACCACGTGTACAGCAGGGCCCGGAAACACTGAACGTGAGTTAGCCACCCGTTTGACAGTCAGCAACCTTGAGAAGTCAGGGTGGAGCCAGTACGTTTTGGGTCTTATATTGCTGACCTGGTTGACGTAGGCGTACCCCGGCTTCTGGAAAAGGGAGGGCATTAATAGTTTACTAGTAATAACTGAGTAGTATGCTGTGTGGACCAATCAGAAAATGGCCTTTTTGGGGGGAGGGGTTAAAAATTAAGTGCTTTTCTCAGTCAAGAGGAAGGCAGTTTATGAGATATTCAGCAGTGCTCAGTGGACAGTCGAGTCTCGTAGTCTGGGCCTGGATTGCAGGTCAACGTGAAGCAAAACCCAGCTCTAGTCAGAAGCTCCCTGAAAATTGCCTAGGAAGGCCTCAGCTGGACACCTGTGTGCCGTCTTTCAGTGGTTTCCTGCAGCTGGTTTCACCTCCAGCAGAAGTGGAGACCGGTGTGTGTTTCCTCAGGTCAGCTCCCAGCGAGAGCGAGCTCGGGTGCGGGAGTGTGTTCTCACGCACCAGAACCACCCCGGGGCTGTGAGACATGCTCATGTCTCAGGAGTGCTCATTCATTGCACACTCCTTCTAGGGCATGTGCTCATCCATTCAGTTGACCGGGTAGTAGCTGCCCAGTTTTAAGTGCTGGGGATCCAGCAGTGAGCAAGGAGTTAATGTCCTGTTGGCAGTAAAGACAGAGAACAAACAAATAATTATTTGGCATAATACCAAAATGTGTGACCAGAGGAGAGTGTGTGATCTCGGGGTGGTCAGAGCAGGTCTCTCTGAGGGATACATTCCTGAGCTGGGAATCTAAGGAGTGAGCCACGAGGAAAAGGCAAGTGTAAAGGCCCTGGGGTAGGACTAGACCCATCAAGTTAAAGGAGCAGCAGATAGGCCCGTGCGTTGTGCAGAGTAGGTGGGAGGTGGAGGTGGCTGAGTCAAGGAGGGGGTGCACTCGTGAGCGGCGTGGTGGGTGGAGTCTCCTTCTCTAGTCAAATATCTTTTTTTTCTGTCTTGAGCACTTACTAAATTTGCATAATTAAACATTTGTATCCAGTGACTCCATTGTGCCAGCTTTTCTTTTGCTTATTTTCTCTCTCCCTTCTTAATAGGTTTTTGTTTTTGTTTTTTTTTTTAAGTGAAAACTGTCATCCACACCCACACTTGGGGACTAGGGAAGCCATCCTAAGATTCAGATGTTCCTGTTCCCTGAGAAGCTGTGTGTTTAAAAGAACACTCTAATGACTAATTTAAGATCATGGTGCCCTTTTCTGGCTATAAAATGAGAACTCGTTTCTTCATGCCTTCTTTTCACTAGATCTTGAAATGCATCAGCCAGCTGGAGCTCGCTCAGCTCATAGGGACCGGTGTGAAGACGCGCTACCTGTCTGGGGCTGGGCGTGAAAGAGAAGGGAGCCTGAAGGGCTACACGTTGGGAGGAGAAGAATTCATGGGCCTCGGCCTAGGTAAGACGCCAGGCCCCACCCACGGCTGCCCGGCAAGGGCTCCCAAGTTAGCTGGGACGAAGCACTTCTGGTCTCCTCGGGACCGTCACATAAACCGTTCTCCTCCCGTGCCAGCCGAGGGTGTGTGGCTCTTGATGGAAGTGCCACTTCAGCAGTGTCACCTGTGATGAACTGTCGAGTAAACGCCAGTGTTCTCAGCAGCAGCGTGCATGACTTTTCTCTGTTCGTAAAGCTGTACTTGGGGAAGCCTCTTTAGAAAGGTTACAGCTTTAGGACCTGCTGTTAAAGGAATGGGTATGTTTATCTCCAGATTTTAAAAGGTAGTGTCAACCTCTTCCATGTTCATGTGGGTGGCTTTTCAAACAGTATTCGTACCAAAGTAGAATTATTCCTGCCTCTGTGCTGGATTGAGAGACTCTTGCAGTGATAGAACATAGTAAAGAGGGCAAACAGATGTGCCCAGCCACGTTCTGAGCTCTCAGTTTGTATATTTTTAACTCATTTACTCCTTGTAACAACTCAGTGAGATTGGGACTATTATCCCCATTTTGTAAGTGAGGAAAGTGAGGTACAGGGGCTGGACTGATTAGAGCAGGGGTGTCAAGCTCATTTTCCCGAGGGCCCACATCAGCCTTGCAGTTGCCATCAAAGGGCTGAATGTCATTTTAGGGCTGTCCAAATGTAACTACTACTTAACAGTTACTCGGCACTGCTACTGGGTAGACACAAGGTGGAGAGCCGGTTTCAGCCCTCGGGCCTTGCGTTTGACACCTGTGGCCTAGAGCAGGGCCACACTGCAAGCACATGGCAGAGGTAGGTGTCAAGCCCAGGCCGTCTGTGTGCAGAGAGTAGGCTCCTGGGTCGCGCATACAGTGGTTGGAGCAGTACGGGGTAACGGTTAGAGGCATGGACTCGATGAAGATGGAGGTGTGGAATAGCACCTATTTCTTAGGGAGCGAGTGAGGGTGACTGGAAGGGCTTCCTGGAACATTACACCGAGTGTTCAGCAGCTATGAACCGTTACGTATTCTAGGAGCTCTGGGTTGTATCCATCAATTCAAATTTGTTTTCCTTGATATAGGCATTTAATAATATAGAAATGTAAAAGTCTATCAAGAAGAGGAGATAACTGATACAGGCAAGGGAAATTGTAATAACAATGCATTTTAAAAACCAAATGCCAAAACCCAAGTTTAATATTTTTCCATCATCAGAAGAAGGGTTTTTCGCCTATAAACCATTCTCATTTCTGTCTCGTGTGTGCATATTGATGTCACAGGGCACTTTGTTCTGATTACTCGACTGTTTTGGAGGCACCGTTGACCTCGCACCTTGTGTTTCAGGCAACCTGGTGAGTGGCGGAGTGGATAAGAGGCAGATGGCCAGTTTCCAGGAGTCGGTTGGGGAGACGAGCTCGCAGAGTGTGGTCGTGGCTGTAGACAGGTAATGGTTTTGTTCTCCAGTGAAGCTGGGCTGCCCAGTGGCGTGGCATCCTCTCTGTCAGTGATTTTCAACTGTTTTCTTTCTTTTTATAAAAACTTATTTATTTATTGTTAGAGAGAGGCAAAGGGAAAGAGAAAGGGAGAGAAACATCAACGTGCAAGAGAATCATTGATCAGTTGCCTCTTGCTCCCCCCAACCAGGGATCTGGCCCCCAACCCAAGCATGTGCCCTAACAGGGAATCGAACCAGTGACCTTTCAATTTGGAGGACAGTGCTCAGCCCACTAAGCTAATTACTAAAATTCTGTAACACACCAAAAAATGTATTTTTTGCTGGTCTGACAAAAAATAGGTATAATTTTGTTTCATTCACACCGGACAGCTGTTGTTGTGTTAGGCGTTTTCATTTTTTAATTTGACAATCTAAGGGAAAAGAGGTCAGTGCCCCTGGCCAAATGGCCAGGTAACGCGTGTTTTAAAAATCCTGCAACGCGCTGGTTGAAAAATCACGAAAAATCACTGCTGTGTCCGTGCTGTCACGAGGTGAATGGCTCCTGACCTGCGTGATGGTTGTGAATGGGGTCAGTTTCACGTCACTCACACGGAGAAGGGCAGGCATGGCACGCGTGACCCACGGCCGCTGACAGCTTTCCCCGTCATCTGCAGTCTGCCCTCGCGTGGTATCAAGACCTTTTCCAGAACAACACAACCAATTATGACCAAATTATGTCAAGTTTAAAATGCCACAGTGTTCACTATTCATACTGAGTTTCAGCTATTTTCCTTAAATGAAACATTTTTACAAGCCTGTGGTAATTCCAGAGTTAAGTTCTGGAAACATGGACTCCGGTGGTTTTTCACCAGTTATTTTACTGCTCTTGCGGAAAAGCAGCTTTTTGGAGGTTCTCAACCTGCCCCTCCCTCTGTCGTGGCGTCACGTGCTGTTGTGTTTTGACTCTTCCCCTCCTTCTGATGTGTCACTTTCTCTGTCAGTGCAGGAGTGTCGTTCTCAGCTCAGGTTGTAGACCAGTTCTGGACCCCCAGTGCCTCATCATTTATTTTATTATTATTATTATTTTAAGATTTTACTTATTTATCTTTAGAGGGGAAGGGAAGGAGAGAGGGAGAGAAATATCATTGTATGGTTGCCTCTCATGCATCCCCTGCTGGGAACTGGCCTGCAACCCAGGCATGTGCCCTGACTGGGAATCAAACCACGATCCTTTGGTTTGTAGGCCCGCACTCAATCCACTGAGCTACGCCAGCCAGGGCTCTCATCATTTATTTTTAAGTGGAGCCACCAGCCCTCAAATATGTTTTCTTTCTTTTCTCAGTGTTCGAAATAGAAACTTAGGCTTCCAAATCTAATTTTTGTTTTTTGATGTCTGAAATTTATCCTCTAGAATTTTTACTGGATCTACAAGACTGGATGGAAATGCAATAGGTATGTATTTGACTCCCCTGTGACCAATGTAGAAGCCTCACATTATGGCTGTCTAACTGTTACTAATGAGGCCTCGCATGTATTGTTGGGTCTGGCCTGTAGTTGACTTTGTTCGCTGGCTGTGTGCCGTGTCCATGGACGAGCTGGCTTCCCCCCACCATCCCCGCATGTTCAGCTTGCAGAAGATTGTGGAGATATCATACTACAACATGAATCGGATCCGACTGCAGTGGTCCCGGATATGGCACGTGATTGGAGACCACTTCAATAAGGTAACTCTTACAGTTCCAAAACCACTCCATCGATGTCCAGAAACAGGCAGGCTTTGAAAAAGTGATTGAGAATTTAGGTGCCTACCATTCATTTTCCCTGTGGAGTCAGGGACAGCTTGGCAGGAGTAGTAATAGTAGTATATATACATATTGATAGAACTTGTGGAGAATAAATTGAGAAAGCAGTGGTGTTGCAAAAACATTAATGTCTCACATCTAGG